AAAAAAAATAGCTGAGTGCTAAAAGACATTATTGTATAGGAGAAGAAGTATTTCTGTTATGGACTTAGGAAACACATAGAGCTCTTTACATTAATCAGATATCAGACCAAGTTGAAAATCAAGAAACTAAAACCTGTCCCTTACTTGTATCTAGTTGGACTCATAGCTACTGTCCCAAGATAACAAATTTTCTTCGACACATTGGGCTTGAGGGAATCATTAATTATAGCAACTGTGCTTGAACAAGTTTTTTTTTTTTTTTTACAATTCTCAACTACCTCCAAAATCATTTTTTTGACATAATTATAAAATAATGGAATAAGCTCATTAAGCTAAAAAAATCATTTTTTTGAATGAGTGAAGGGAATGGAAACTTCTGTGAAAGAGACAACAGAAGGATGAAGACAGTACTTTAGATTGACTAATAGAGGAAAACTAATACATTCAGAATTCAGATCTCACCGTTTCCAAGCCATTCTATAGAGTGAATATCACACCATTCTAGAGTCTTTGTTATTTTCTTCATCATGTCAGTAGGAAAAAACAATTTTGTATCAGTTGAAAGAATCTAAACACCATTCAGGAAAACAATTTTTAACAATAACAATTTCTTCATTTCCAGTCACATCAAAGAAAGCATTTTAGAGAAATTAAGATACATATTTAAGCATTTCATATCAAATAAGTTACATATATACACCATACTTTTCCTTTTTTAAAATTTGACTGACAGAAACAGAGTAATTCTGAGTTAAATAATTTATTTTAGGGAAAATATTACCAAGGGAAAAATAATAAAGTAAATATCATCTCTTCTAAATATTGCTTCATTCCACCCACCACTTCCCCCAAGGAAAAATAATACAAAAATCAGTACAGCCTCAAATTAAACAACAGAGAAACTCATTGTCTTTTTTTCTTTTTTGATTCTGGGAATTTGGTACTGGCCACTCTACCACTGAGCTACAACCCCAGTTCTTTTTATTTTTTTATTTTGAGATAGAGTGTTGCTAACTTGTTTAGAATGGTCTTGAATTTGCAATCCTCCTGCTTTAGCCTCCCATGTAGCTGGGATTACAGCTGTGTACCATCTTGCCCTGCCAGAGATATTGAAAACACATTTTATCTTAAATTTCTATTTAATATATTCACACATTTTACTACATTTTATTGATAAATTCATTTAGAAAATAATTAGTTTAATAACATATTTCTGATCACATCAAAAAGGAATTTTAGAGCAATTAATATACAAATTTTATCCTTTTAATAAAAAATAAGTTTTATACTTAATTGTTGTTTTAGTAAACTTCTTATTTTATGACAATCTATCTTGTGAGTAAATTCACAATCTATCTTGATTTGATATGAGAAACAATAGGGATTTTTGATTTACCTAAATTTTAATTACACAAGTACAAGATCTATATATTAACTTTAAAATAGTTAAGACCCTGTTTTTAGGCTAACTAGAACAAGAGGTTATATATATATTTGATATACAAATATGCCTAACCAACAGAGTGAAATGAAGTATTTGAAATAACTTATGTATTTTTTCATTCAATTTTGCCTCAAGAGGTCCATTTTTCCACAGAATCACATTCATTAATTTGCAGAAAATAC